CAGCAACTCTCGCCTCTCTTAAGCAAAGACTGTCCGAGATAATAGAATTGGACACCATTTAGACCGGGGGTTCCCATCTAGAGTAGTATTCCCAGAATGCCCTCCTTCATTCCACACAGGCCCGAAATAGAAGGGAAATAAGATAGCTTTGGCCAGGGTAGGATGGGCGTGTGGGTCTGCTCCCTGCGACCAGGTGACTGAGAGGAACTCCAGGGCTGCGGTGGCTGACCCTGGAAGAAGAATGCTGAACTCCAGGACACTCACCTGGACACCTGCAGCAAAGAAACTTTCTCAGCCCAAAGGACCAGGATTGTTTCAGGAGGTGAACACGGGGGTCTGTTTTAAAAGAGAGGGATGGGACAAGAATACATGAAATGGAGCAGGGTCTGTGGGGACCGCAAGGCTTGGATTCAGATCCCAACACAGTCCTTGTGTGTACGTTTAAGCAACATTTTTAAGGCTCCATTTTTTTTTTCATCTATAGAACAGGGATAATGGGAGTCCCTACCTGGAGGGTTGTTACTCATTTTAATTAATCCTCCCCAGAGGATATGTTTATTGATTTGAGAGAGGGAGGAAAGGAGAGAGAGAGAAACATCAATCGGTTACCTCCCAAACACACCCCAACCAGGGATGGAACCCTCAACCTAGGCATGTGCCCTGACTGGAAATGGAGCCCAGAGCTTTTTGGTGTACTACCTACAGGACGACGCTCTAACCCACGGAGCCACCCAGTCAGGGCTGTGACTCACTTTAAATGAGATAAAGGAAGTAAAGCACATGGCCCAGTAACCTGCTTTGCATCCTATAAATGCTGTAATAATAGCAATGGTAATCACTTTCACTGCTACTGATAACACTGGCAAAACCTAAGTCCTTCTTTCCTACTCTCACAGACCAGCCAGCCCCGGTCTTTATGTCTTCCTAAGTTCTCTTCAAAGCTCCAGACTCCCATGCACAGTGGCCTCCTGGAAACCTTGCTGGGGAATCTCATGATGGCGCTACTAACCCACCCCAGCTGTACTCACTGTTGCTGTCTCTTCTCCAACCACCCTGTCTACTAACAGCACCCAGGGGGGAAATCCATTACACCCACGGGGCATCCACAGTGTGATGTTCTGAGGGCGATGTTCCATGGGACCGATGGCACCCCTGGATTTAAGGCCCCATTACTTGGCCCTGGATTACCGCACAGCCCTACCTAGATTCTCTGTCCGTGGAGCCTCCACCATGCAACTCATCTTCTAAGGCCCCCCATCCCCAAACCTGCAGAATGCCTGCTACTATTACTGAACTTCAGGTACACAAGTAACTCACGAACGTACTCTCTGTGATAGATGACACTGGAGTCCCTTTGCCCATTCCCTTCATGCCAGCCTCTTCCTCTCCCCTTCACCAGAACCAGCCACATCAGTCTGTTCTGATACACTCTCCCAGACATTTGTCACTGTATACATGTAATACATATGAATTGCAGGAGCACATACAAAATATTGCTAGTATTTGTTTGTTGCTATAGATAGCATATTTCCCACATATTGCTATACTACTTGCTCTTTTAAAAAAAAATTCAACTATATCTTTACAGATCTTTCTATATTGGTAGATAGAGATGAACCTGCAGCCAACTTGCTGGGTGACTTCAGACAAGTCACTTTACCTCTCTGAGTGTCCTTAGCTGCCACCATGGGATGTTCTTAGGCCCCTGAAATCCTCTGATCTTAGCCCATGGCTGCCCTGAATGAAGAGAGCTCTTACCCATTCCAGGCATCCACCTAAGGCTTAGCTGCCTGGAAGAGCCCACAAGGGACTCTGGTACAGAGCAGCGTCTTACAGGCACCACCACCAGCCCCCACCGAGGGTATCAGGTTACCAGCCTGCACTCACCCTGGGTGGCAAGCTCTACCTCTGATATTTTTAGACTCCCCCCACCCCACCTCAGCCGATCCCTAACAAGAGCCAGATGCATCTGCTGATTCCCGCCAAAGTTGGTCCTGCTGAAATTGCAGTCTTTAAGTAGCTGCTGCAGGAAGCCAGACTCTACCACTCCTGGGGCGGAAGGGGGGGGGGCCTCCTTTTCCCTCCATCCCCACCCCTGCCCCGTTCTTTCCTTGGATAAACTGAAGCTAACAACCAAGAGCCAGGCCTCTAGTTCTGTCCGTGGTGCCAGCTGTCCTCTTTCCTCATTTCAGCTGCTTCTGCCAATCGCCCGCTTTTCCAAACCCAGTGAGATGTCCCTGAGCCCTCCTCCCACACCGGAGTCCAGTCATCTTTAACTGCTTCGTCTGGAAGAGCTCTGCTCCCCAGTCCCAATGCCTGGGACCCCACCACGCCTCTGGGTGATGGCTGCCACCACTTCCCCTCTGAAGTCTACCCTCATCCCGTGTTAGCCCCGGGAGCCTGATGTCAGACGCCCCACTTGTCCACAGAGCTGGGCAGAGGCCGCATGTTGCAACACACACAATTATCTGCTCCCCAGCCAGGTGGCTGGGTTCCTGTCTCCCAAACAAATCCCGCCAACCAGCCAGCAATCCACTGCCGTCCCATTTGGCCTGGAAAGACATTTATATAGTTTTGTCTGGACAGACTCCCCTTTCTCTGTCTGGTGGGTTGACTATGACAAAGAGAGGCCTTCACTCTGTCCCTGTCAACCAGGAAGGCCGCAGAAGGCAGGGCTGTTAGCACGTGCCTGAGATGACACATTGGCCAGTTGAGCCTCCCTGTGAATCAATCACCTGTTTTTGGAAAATTGAGAGTGTTGTGCCAATGCACATGGTTTTAGCTCATGTGAAAAAGATATTATGTGAGGGGCAGAGAAAGGAAATGTATGTGAAATGTTCACTTCCATTCCAGGAAGAAAGGGCCTTACAAATTACTTGTGTGCCTAGTGTGAAGGGGGGTGGCAGGGAGAAGTGAATGGATGGGCCCTGCATTTATAATCAGTTGCCATGGAGTCCTGCTAACTCAAGAGCTGTGTCCTGATCTGAAGCCCTGCCAGCCAGACAGGGCACGGCCCCTCCCGTGTGGGTGGGGCTGTTCAGTGTCAGCTCAGAATCTCCCAACGTGGCCCAGGCTTACCCACCTCTGTGGCTTCCAACACAAACACCTGTCCCCAGATTTCAGGCAAATCAAAGTTTCCCCACTGAAGGGACAGAGGCAGCTCCAGGCTGTGTGGCTTGCTCTCTACCTCCCACCCTGACTCCCCAATTCCAGGTGGGGGTAAAGGTGGCAGATTCAAAAACTCTCAGTGGGAAAACAGGTTCTGCACCTTCCTGCCACCCCCACACACCTCCTTAGGCTGTAGGCTTGGCATCTGGGCCTTGATTTCTCCAAGAGGGTCTCCCCGATCCCCACAACTCACCAGGAGAAAAGGGGAGGTTCTTGTGGGGGAGGTAGATGGAGGTTCACGTCAGGTTCTAAGCATTACTAGCTCAGTGACCTGAGATTCTGACTTGCAGCCTCTGGCCTGGCTCTCCCCACCTAGGAGTGAGAGGCTCCCGGGGAACTGGAGAGCGGGGCGCTCTAGCGCGCTGCAAAGGCTCCGCCAGCTTTGATTTTCATCCTTGTCCCTGAGGACTCCCGGGGAAACAGGATCCTACCCCTTCCTCATCCTCCTTCCACTTCCTCGTCCCAAGGCCAGATTCTAGGGAGAGGTGGGCAGCAACAGACAGCTCCTGGGATTTCTAACTAATTCGATGTAAAGGCAGCTGGAGACTTTTTTAAAAATTATGGTAAAATATTCATAACAGTATTTTAATCACCTGTACGTGTACAATTCAGTGGCAATAAACGCATTCACAGTGGCATATCACTGCTATCTATACTCAAAACGCTTTCACCCTTCCCAACAAAACCCCTGCCCCAATTAGGCCATATTCCCCACTCCCCTTTCCCCAGCTCCTGCTGAACTCTACTCCACTTTGCGTGCCTATGCGTTTACCTGTGCCAGGGGCCTCACGTGAGTGGGATCGTCCAATATTAGGGCTGCTTGTTCTTCAGACCCTCTCCAAGGGCATTAGCTTTCCTCTGCCTGTCACTTTTCAGGCCGGTCTCTGCCTTTTAGAGGCAGGTAAGTTAAAGGATCACCCTCACCACCGCCCACAATCCCCCCCACACACATCTGTGGAATTGGGAAGGGGCAGTGCCCCTTTCCCCAAACCTGAAACCAGGCTTTCGGCCTTGTTCCAAAGTAAGGGCCACATGTGGCCCGAAGGGAGGGCCTTCCTCTGTGGTGTCTCCCTCAGGTTCAGGTTCAGACGAGCCTCCATTTATGAGGCCCACATGTGGGCCTCAAATGAGGACCTCACGCAAGTGTATTCAGCACTCTGTATAGTCCACACCCGAGTTCTAGTTTCCTCTTTTTCTGGAACCCATGGGTGCGGCCCTCGAAGTCCCGCGAGCCCCACGAAGGCTAAGTAAGGTGAGGAGGGGGAGAGGCGGCATCCTCGCAGCGCCCTGAGGCTCCTCCACCGCCCCAGATCTAAGACAGCAGCTCCCCGCCGATGGGGAGCGTAACGGAGCCGCCACCCGGGCCAAAAAGGGTGCGCTACGCCGCACGACCCATCCATCACCCGACCTGGGCGCAGCCAGTCCCACGCACTCGGAGAGGTGGGAGACAGTGCTGAAGGAGCTGTGGACCCTCATGCGACGAGGGGGGCTGCCTTGAACTCCTCCCCTAACTTTTCCCGCCCGCCCCAGCCCACACCGAGAAGGAAGCTGTCCCAGGGTGCGGAGGTGGAATTCCGGGTCCCAAGCTAGTGAAGCACCGGCGGGAAGCCTGCCCCATCGTGCTCTGGCCGGGGAAAAGTGGATTTTCCGCAGGGAGGGGCCTCGGCCCTGCCCCCCCCCAACAGCAGGGACCCCCCCCCCCCGCAACGCCCCAAGCCGCTGCCCGCTGCCACCACCACCCCAGGTCCACTGAGTGCAGGGCCCCAACGCACGCCCAGTGCCGCCGGGACCCTACAACTGCCGCGCGGCCCTCGGGCGCAATCTCAACTCACGGGGCACCGGCGGCGGGACTGACGGACGGGCCGGGGCGCGAGGCGAAGTAGCCGGGCTGTTTTGAAGCTCTGGGCTGGGATTGAGCGCCCTCCCTTCTCCCTCTCGGTGGCGCAGAGCCTCCTCCCCACGTCCCCCTCTTTCACGATCCCGCCTCCCGCCTCCCGCCTCCCGGGGTGTGATGTCAGGAGCGGGGAGAGCGGAGTGGGAGGGGCCGCCGAAGGTGGGTGGGGGGGCCCCCGCGGAAAAAGGCTGGAGTGGGGGGGGCGGTTACCCCCAGCCTCAGCCCACCCAGCCCGCCCGACTGCGCAACACTGCCAAATTTAGGGCGGAATCCATAGCGTAGCTGGGGAAAGCGGGAGAAAGGAGAAAGCAACTCCTCGGAGCTGGAAGTGTCCCTGCGCAGCGCTCGCCCTTATGGGTTCCCAGCTCTCTCGCCCCGCCTCGCCTCGCTCCTCTGCCCTTCTTCTCCACCTCTTCTCTCCCTTCTCTTCCCTCCTCGTAAGGGTTAAGAATCGGGTCCTGAAATTCGACTCCCTGCTTTAGGACCCTTCTCTGATACTTTTCTTAACTTTACGATCTTGCCGGTAATCTTCCCTGCTTGTTTCCTCTTCTGGAAATGGAAGTTTTGTAGGACCGCTTTCCTGGGGTGTTGTAAAACCTGAAAGTGAGAACACACGTCCAGTGCCTGACACACATAGTAAGTGCTCAATAAACGTTAGCTACTATTATTTTTATTATCAGACACAGGCCTGACCTTTGTGGGAGGCAGGCTGGCAACCGGAACCTAGTGTTAAGGGTTCCTCCCTAGCCCGCCATTCACTGAACCCCCCCAACCCCCCCACACACTGTCACACAAACCACTACCCCTATCCTTTGAACCCACAGCCCTGGAATTTATCGTCCCTGGAAATGACAAAAAAAGAAGAAACTGCCTATTTTCCCAGCCTCAGTTCTCCCATCTAGGAGTGGGGCGTTGGGGAGAAGGGGAGAATTTACTGTGCTAAAAAATGGAAGAAAATGCAAAACAGGGCCACAGCATATTAGAGCAAATTTATAAGCTTTTAATTTAACAGACTGTTATTTGCTCACGCCCAAAATATAAGTCAGTAGACTTTTGCCAGTAATATGAGAATTAGAAGCTCTTTTCAGAGATGCCAATCTATTGCTCAGTTGCAGGCCCTGCTGGGAGGCCATGTTTAAATTTTCTGATGGCTTTCTTCAATCCCACTGGGGGGCTTTCCAAGGCAATAGTCTCCAGGTCTAAACTAGAGATCCTTACAAAACTTGGGGCCTCCTCCAAACGGCCATACCACCCCCAAGGTCCTGAGGTTTCCCAGTGGGTCCAGTGTGTGACCCTTCGCATGTCTTTCAATTCTAAAATTCTACGGCAGTAAGGTGCTCATTTGAACTGTGGCCCAGTATAAAAGGGGAAGAGAATGGGGTCTGGCTGCTGCAGAGGAAAATCAGAAGGGGCCCCCCCACCAGCAAGGACAGTGGCCCCTGCATGTCTGACAGCCACCCATAGAACAACAAATGCATCCTCCCCAAGGGTCTCCCAGAATGCACAGTCTAGGTGGGGGTGAAGTAGTCCTGCCATTCATTCGCTGAGCACTTAATCTACCAGTTGCTGTACAAACATTGTCTTCAATGTAACGCAACAGTCCATAAAGAAACTGAGGCTGAGAAGCTACCTAAGAAACTTGCCCAAAGGGATGAAGCGTTGATTCGAACTTAGACCCTGCTCTCCTCTTCCCATTATATAGCTATTTGCCAAATGCTAACCACAGTCAAGCCATTATTTCTGCCATTTCCACATGCCAGCTGAGCTAGTATTCACTTACTATTTTCCTTTGAATCAACTGTTCATTTAATTATGTATATTTATTTTAAAAGGAAGCTCTATATCATCATGGTAAACAGGAAACCAGTGCCATCTGCCAGGAAGAGAAGATAAACTTACTAATTTAAGTTTGTTTAAACCAGTACATTCTAGCCAGATACTGTTGCCTGAAAGAGCCCGTGAACCTGAGGTTTAGGAGCTATTGCAAAGGGAGGTCAGCAGGTGTGAGAGAGGCATTAGATACACGCTAGCCCAGAAGGAGACTTTCTCTTTCTTGTAACTGATGAAAAGGGAATTGCATTCTCAGTCTGTGATTCAAAGTTGGGCAATGCCTCCTCCCTCTGTCACCTAAAACTGCCTGCCCTGTGCCTGCTGGTGGGGTGTGCCCCACACTGGGAAGAACCTGGCCAGACACCAGGTTGCCTCTCCAGGACCCAGAGAAAGGAATGGATGGATTGTTCCTCTCTCTGGTTTCAAAACCCTCTCCAGAGCCCCACCTCCCTGTCCCGTTCACCTGCCAGGTGTGCCTCTTAAGCTTTCTCTCTTTAAATATATACCTGTCTCTCCAGTAAGATGGGAGGCAGAAATCTGCTTCCTAACGGCCTATATCCCCCACTCCTAGGGTTTCAACAACAAGTTTGAGACCTCAACATGGTGTGAGGGAAAAGTAAGATTGTGTTGGATTGAATGTTGAGTTCCAATTCTTCATCCCTCTGTAGCTATATATATATATATATATATATATATATATATATATATATATATATATATACATTCACACTCCAGATGTAGTTTCCTGGCAGTTGGAGCACTTTCCCTCCTTTCCTTTGACCTGGGCCAGGTGACTGGCTTTGGTCAATGAGATCTTAGCAGACGACCCAAGCAGGGGCTGAGAATGAGCTTGGATGGTGGGGCTTGCCTTCTTATGCTCTTGCCATTTCCATAAGTTGGCTATACCTCTGATAGCCCACTGGCCCCAGGAAAACTAAAGAGCTACTCTAGGTGACCATCAGAACTTCCATCGGGGACACAGAGCTGCTCCAGCCAAGCTGCAGACACGTGAACGAGAAAGGCATGTCCGTTTTTGTCTGTCACTGAGGCATCATGGTTGTTTCACAGCATAGCTGGTTAATAAAGGGACCGTCTTATATTTGGAGAGAGAAAGAACTAGAAGGAAGACATCCGAAGGCGTGGAAGGCCATGGAGAATGCCGAGGGGATTGTTGGGAAATTTCGGGGTTGGGCAAAGGAGGTTAACGGAGAACGCAGTGATCTCTTGTGTGTCTTTCCCAGCCTAAGTGTTTTAAGATTCTGACAATCTCTTATAACCTGCTCCTGTTGACTCTTTTCTGTTCTCAGAAGAAATAACTAGAGGTGTCCATGCCTGGGGGAAAATCTGATCCCATCCTTAAGAGATCCTAACAGGACTTGTGGCAGAATACATAATGGAAAAGAAAGTGTGGACTTTTGCCAGGAAGGATGGGGATCTAAATCCAAAACATCCTAATGGAACTGGATCAAATACAAACATAACTGGACCACTGAGCCTGCTTCTGGTTGGTGGGTCAATTTCATCTTGACAGCTGACAGAAGTTTTACACACTTCCATTCAATGACCATTTTCTTTGGAAACAAACAGGAGCACAGGCTGCTAGGATGGCTCGCACGTGATCCTGCTGCCTGGTGTTCACACCCTTGTGTACTCCCCTCCCCTCAAGGTGGACCGGACATAATGGCTTGCTTTTAACGCATAGAATGAGGCAAAAATGATGGATGTCACTTCCATGATAAGGTTGTAAAACTGTGACTTCTGTCTCATTACTAGACTCTCTCTATTGCCTTCTAGGTTTGCTTGCTTTTCTGAAGTAAGCTTCCATGTTAGAGAGGCCCACATGACAAAGAAGAGATGGAAGTTCTGGGCAAAAGCCAGAGAGGAACCAAGGCTTTCAATCCAGCAGCCTCCAGGGACCAGAATGCTGCCAACCACCATGTGGGCTTGGAAGCAGCTCCTTCCCCCGTTGAGCCTCAGATGAGACCTAGCTCCGGCTAACACCTCAACAGAACCCTTGTGAGAAGGCCCAAGATAGAGGACCAAGATAAGCCATGTCCAGATCCCTGACCCACAAAAACCGTGATCTGACAAATGTGTGTTGCTTTAAGCTGCTGAATTTTCAAATAATTTGTTATGCAGTAATAGATGACTAGTGCATGAATAAAAATGATTTAATCTCCATCAGCTGAGATTGCAAAGGCTAGGTTGTAGTTGTAGCTTTTGTATCGGTCATGATGGGCTAGTTTATGCCATGATAAAAAATAATTCCCAAATATATCTGACTTACGATGCAAATGTCGACATATCTTGCTCATATTAAATGTCCATTTGGGTTTGATTGTGACCGTGTGTCTATGTCACCTTTACTCTAGGACACAGACTGATGGAGCATCCTCTATATGAACCATTGTTGGTCTCAGGGAAGTGAAAAGTTAAGAGGATGAACCACACATTGGCTATTAAAAGTTTCTGCATACTCGTATTTCAGTGGCAAAGCAAATCATAAAGCCAAGTAGCAAAAAATTCTGCCACTAGCCATTTTAACTCTATCTTTGAATTTGGCTTACAGCTCTAAATGCTTCTGGATGTAGGACCATAGTAAGAACACTCAAAGGCTTCACAAGCATCATTTTCTCATGGCTACTCTTACAGATAAACAGGATCCCCTCTACCAAAGCCCCTGCCATCAGCACGTCTGGGCATGGCTCTGCCAGCTGCCCATCCTGCCATATGAGAGACAACTGGGAAAACCCCTAGTGCCTGCTGCATGAAGAGTCAAGAAATCTGAATTCTGAGAGTGGGATCTGAGAAACATGTTCTCTTGAGACCGTTTTCCCCTTGTCACCCACGTCCACAGACTGGGCTGGGGGCGGGATGGAAACAATGGTTTCCAGCTGAGGAAGAAGCCCTGGTGTCCTGCCACTTAAAGCTGGGAGCTCTGGGTCTCGTTGCTGCTTCTGGTCATAGAACTTCCTGCAAGTGCAAGAAGAATTCACAGCACTAATTACCAAAGTCGACAGCCACAGGATCTCCAAACCTCTGTAGATACAGCTTATCATGATGGTGCATCAGGCTTTCGGGTACCACACACAAGCGGACTGAGTAGAACAAACTAAGGAGTGGTGTCTGTGTTTTTCTTGACCCAAACACCTGGCTACTTGACTGTAGTCCCAAGTTTTCATCAGGAGGTTTGGCGTCCGAGTTCTCCCAGGTCTGAATTTTCCTAAATACAGTCAGAAAGAGTACCAGGAAGC